CCAATCGTTTCTGAAAGAATGTTGAATTCTAATAGAGTTATGAATCTTCAAAATAGGGGCAAGACATGTTTACTTTGTCACATCAGTTATTATAAGTGTTAGGTAATCGTCATCACATAAACATATATTTTTTGTAGTTTGGATTGATTTATATAGGTAATAAAGCAGCCTATGCTAATTTTTACACACTATCTTGAAATTGTTGGGGCATGAAAAATTTAATTTTGTCACATTTTTAGTGACTTTGACAAATTTAACCTAAAATTGTTAAATTTAAGCTCTGATGTTCTGGGCAATATTCTAATAGAGGTATAGAATATAGATCTTCAAAATAGGGGCAAGACATGTTTACTTTGTCACATCAGTTATTATAAGAGTTATTATAAGAGACTATTTCATTCTATAATCATTGTTTTTAATCTATTTACGATTTCGTATAATTTTTTGTGACAATGTAAACATCAACTGATCTTAACTTGCATCAACTACATTGTCATCATATAAAATTTTCCCGCCTTTCAAACCAAAATCAGATATAAATTATTCGCCCAAAATTTTAAATTTCATATATTGTGACAGAATTAACCTCATTTCCCAATAACCAAGTGCCTGTATGAGCTAACTATTCAAAATAACATATTTTAGGGCTATGCTTGGTAGAGCAACCATAAACTAATGAGTTGAAAGGGTTTTTAGGACACCTCACAGTAGAATAGAGGTATGGTATCATGAGTGTGACAAAGTTACCCAAATATTGCCTTGTAACCGTTCGATCCGTGCCCATTAACCAATGTTGTATCATAATTGTTAGATTGACCTAATTTACTATATTTCAGACCAAGGAATGATAATTAGACAACTGCAGTTAAGTAAGTCACACAAAATGTGACATTTGAAACATTATAGTGCCTAACAACAATAGATTTTCTTTCTGAGCGGTGCATATGGGAGTATGGGTTACGTGGCTAATGTTCAGAACTTCTGAACGTGCTAGGTTAATAGATGTCAAAATCAAGCCACTATCGTCAAAAACGCTATTATTTTTGTTTACCAATATCCTCAAACTCAGATGAACGTGTCCATATATATTTACCATTATTTTGATCATGAATATGTAGGACTCACCGTCCTGGTTATTGAACTGCTCGGGTATACAAAAAAAGGTATACAAAAAGCAGTGTTTAGTTAGAACATTGCATTTTGATAAGATTCGTCTTAGAGATCTATTTAGTGATAATAAAAACTTCAGTCGCAGCTCACGCAATTGACTTAAATGGCAAGCTTGTCTTATCTTTTTATTGTCAAGCACGAACAGATATCTGTAAACCAATCAAACACTGCCCTCGCTGTCACATGACCTATGTCGACCAATCATGAGCCTTTGTGACCAGGGACTATAGCCTTTGTGGCCATGGAATTTGTGGCCAGGAACTAGCTTTCCTGCGTATTATTCCGTATTCTCATCACGCACATCACGTTTTGTAGCTTACTGATCCTCTCCCAGCATATATAAAGCAAAAGCAAAGTATCCCACACCAGCCAGTAGCCAACAGCTGACTGAATCCTGGCTACTCATTTTTATCTGTACTTTTTTGTAACGTCCACTGTTATGGTCCTCTCAACTCTGAGACCCATATAAATTTAACTCGTACTGTAAAGTTGTAACGGAAGCATATAACTATTTCTTTGTAATGAGAGACCCGAAAATAGGATAATCGATAGGAGCGCTTCTCTTTTAGTGGAGCAAAAACAATAGCTCACTGCATTCCTTATAACTGCATTTCTCGATGTAAGGTACTTGTAGCGTAATTCATTGTAAGTCAAATATAGCACACCGCGGTGCCGGTTGAGACTATAAGCGCTATTCATTAACTCTATCTGTCTCTCTCTTTCTGAGGCTATGATTCGGATATTTGAGGATTAGAAGCGATAGAATCGTCTAGAATTATACCCTGGAGGCTGAATATGAATATGTAATCAGATATACAAATTTTGTACGTGATCAGATATTAATGTATGAGAATCACAGGAGCCATGGTCATCAGTCGTTGTATGTTCCTTTGAGAGGTCTCGTTACTATACGTTTCTGAACGAAAGGCTCCAATCTCCATGTACCATAATATGGTAATTGGTACGGGGCCAGGTATGCAATTTCCACACGACTGTCCTCACTCCTCAGTCCTGCCGGGACACGTAGCATCATTTTCTGATTATGACGGAACGCGCTAAAATAAAATGTTAACAAGTTTTCATGGAAGTCATTCAAAATCACGCGCGCTCTTCCAAATAAAAACATTCGGTTTCTATTTCTGTCTAGCACGTTGTTGAAGATTAGTACGATTAGTACGATCCGCAATTGATCGTGGTTCATTTCTTACAGAGAGCCGTCTGTCCATGAAGACGTTTGAGTTTTGACTACATGGTTGCCTTTCGTCATCCACGGAGTGTTCACAACACGTTCACGTATTCGACTTTATTCGCGTGGCCACTTGTGGTGAACGTCTGTTATAATAGTCTTCCTTCGATTTAGATTGATTGAACAAGAATATGTCGAATTTAATGTACTGAGTGAGTGGATCCAGTGGTAATCTATTGTCAATTGTGCTCAATGATCTTGTGAAGTGTGGTCTCTGGGGTCTGGAAGTGTTCTGACACTTACGACCTTTATTATGATTATTATCGGTGGACGGGTTAATTGGGTCAGGTTTCGGCAAAAAAAATGCTTCTAGGGAAGTATGGGGCTGTGATTCGGAATCAGCGCCCAAAAATACATCGAGTAATGCTGTTTTCATACCCTCAGGGCCTTTTTCACAGGAATCTTTAAAAATTGGGCGCTCCTAACTATACGGCCAGGCCGGGTGGTAACCCTTTTAATTGCTAGTCTAGAATAGGTCTCAGAGCATTCATTATTGTTTAATTTGTCCTCGTCATCTTGACCACATTGGCAACTATGTAGGCACTATCTGTTCAAGGCAAGAAGAGCAGGATGAAACTTTCTTTCGTCATGAAAGAAGTGGTGGGCGGTTTATAAGATGGCAAGGCATGTGGCAATTACAGTCAATGTTTATTGCAGTATTTGTACTATATTTCTTCACCATTCCAAGCTTTATATACTATTAATTTCTTTATTCGATATCATTTCAATCAAATAGAGTATCAACTGAAGCATACGGTGTGCAGGTAGATATAGGACTGAAATTAAAAATACTGGAATACAGAAGGAAGATGTGATACTTACTAATTCGAAAACGTGTTTGTGATTCGGTTTATAATCTTGTGATGCTTTTATAACTTTATGAAGATTTCACCATGAAAATGTATTAGAGGTGATAAATGAATATCACAGTGACATAATTTATGATGACTGCGACTGTGTGATCAGGCCTTCTTCTGAGGAAGTCCAAGATTTTAAATACAACCTTCTACCGGCATTCTGTATGATCTAACCGTCTAGACCAATATCCATCAGTTCATCATTATATAATCTTTCTGATCTATTGTTTGACAGCTATCACCAATAGTTACGCTCCCTGTAGTAAAATGATTCAAAACATGCACGGATATTGCTGCAAACAATCACTCTACAGAAGACAGGGAACATACTTCGGACACAAAAAACTAATCATAAGGACAAAAAGTCATGCATGATATTTTGAGTAAAATATGAAGAGACATGTTTACTTTTTAAACTGTTAAACTTGTTCCCATAGCAAGGAGAGTGCTGTAAAAACTACTTGAAAACGTGATTTATATTGTCCCATTATTCGGGGCGTATATTAATCATGAGTTGTGTAGCGGTTGTATGCATTATGTTGTCGGAGTAGGACTATGGTGGCCGGGGGACACTGAAGCTTGTTTCATCTTAGCGGTTAGTATGGGCTCTCCTCGATGCTTTAACATTGATAATAAATTGCAACATAATATCTCTTTTCTTTAACTATTTCCAGATTTTAGTATTCCACTCTAAGATACAAAGAATAGGAGCCAGTGTTTAAATATATTTTCGCGTTGTTTCTCCCCATTCTCAATGTCAAGATTTTATTGATGAGGAAATAACAAAATCATTTTTCTTGTAAGTACTTGCTACTGATGCATCAACCAAATAGGCGAGATAATTTGAAGGACTTATTTAGGAATTAATTATTAAACATAATATGTGTAAGGTATAAATATAATCAGTATTTAGGACCGAATTCACGATTGATCAAAATTCTGAAAGACTTCAAATTTGTGCGGCTTCAAATGGTGAGCAACGCCACAAAGATAATTTAATGAAATGTTGGCCTACCAAAGTCTTTGATGTTTCCCACAGAATCCAGTACCCACCAATTAGACAATATTTGCTGGTGTGCTTCAAAGCAATACTAATCTTCTTTGTGCATCGTAATTATGCTATTTATTCATAGTTCATCGACATTTTCCCGTGCCAATAATTGTAGTCCTTGATAAAACTACGGAATGAATGGAAACTCAGCATGCAAAAAAATGATAGCATCGTAATACTGCAACAAAGTACGGATATAGCATAAATAGATAAAATTGCATTGCATAAATACTTAGAAATTATTCACTAAGCTTTTATAAGTTTAGCAATTTTATAATTTTGCGTTGCGATTATACCTCCGTTTTGTCATGATAATGTTTTGTTGCATCCCATTTGACCAGGAACTCCTTGCTTGTCTTGAAAGAACGTCTCTCCTTCCATCCGGTAAAATACCCGTAAATTCGTCACGTACCAGTAGCTTAGCTGCTTAGTTAGTCAACGAAACAACTCGTACATAAGTAATGTTAAAACAAAGTTAACAAACTTGCACCATTTCCGTCCTCACTTTCGATGATGAGATCTATTCAATATCTTTCAAGCGCCACAATGCCTTATATTTTAACTGTAGCAAAAGATAGATTCAGAGAAAATTAAAGAGTGTTATGAGATAGATAAAGGCAACTTTATAATGTATGTCGATAAGCAGCGATGATAAGCAGCATGACACGTGGTTCCCCCACAAGATTTCTACCACAAACTTTTAAAAACTCAACTCTCTTCGTGTGATTAAAATAAACGAATATGAAGCTTTAGATTGGAGACGTTTATACTTTTGTACGCTCAAAGGATACGGTTATTTTTACAACTTGCGACGCCATCAACATAAATATATGCTTGATATTGTGTTCTAGGCACTCTTGCATATACGATCGTTCCGGCCTCTTCTTCACACCATGAAACTCAATGATGAGCAGTCGATATTTCCGTTGTTACAGTTGACCAGTTTGTCCCCCTCGTCCCAGATGCCGCCTAAGGAGCCAGTGCCGGTATTACCGAAGATCGAGTGTCGTTCCTCCATGGTTAGCCGATCAGCGTCGGGGTCATCTTTGTCTTCGGCAAGTTTCTATAATGGTGGAAAGTATTCCGGTAGTTGTCCGGCCCTTCCAACAAACAGTCGAAACTCTGGTTGGTGCTTATTTTGCATTGCTTGGTGGTGTGGTCTCTTGTTTTGGAGCAAATAAAATACGGCTGATGCTTGTGATTGTTATTCGATTTAATCTGATATTCACGAGACTTATGCTTCTTTTATAATGTGTCTTTCCTTACAAAAAGGTTTTGTTATTGACTACTAAATTAATACAATTGATCAAATCGGTGTCGAGTGACAAAATCCAAATTTTAAATGCTAATATCGAATATTTTATCATCAACGATTAACCAGTACTTTCAACATTGAGGCGACATTTCTGTCGTGGTAGATTTGTTGATATAATTATAAACATTAGGGATGACCATGTAATGATGAATGCATTAGTAGTGATTGCATCAGTGATGAATGATGATTCATAATCATTATTAACAAAATCATGCCGTATCGATTATGCTTGGTGAATGGTATAATGAATTCTTTAAGCACTAACGGTTTAGATGTTTGAAAAGTTGAAATTGACACCGTATCCAACAGGTTCAACTACTTCAACTACTTCCAACAGGTTCAACTACTTCTAGTAGGAACGGGAAGCTGTATACTCCAGTCGAGTTCGAGATCAATCCGATATCACTGCCTTACATGGGAACTGATTACAGGTTAGCTGATAACAGATATACAATTAGTGCGCAACTAGTGAACTAATTAATTAATTAACTGAACTAATTAATTAATTAATTAGGTAACAGAACTGAACTATAATTTTGCTTGGGTGACCGTGGTGGGGCAGAATGTGGTAGGTGTGGTGGGGTGGATTCATTCTCCATGTTTCCAGTGGAGTCATGAAGAAACCCTGTAAAGAATGATCAGAAAAATGGATGATCTGAAAGACGGCAAGATGAAAGAAATTATCGATAAGTTACAAAGTTTAGAGTGAGATAACCAACAAGTAAAACTCGTGCGACAATATGCGACAAGGAACTGACTCGAAAGCTTTAAAACTTAGAACGAATTGATACATAATTAATACATAGATTGCAATTGAGCTGGCCTTCGCCAAACATGAACATTCTTCGAGCACATCCTCTATCTAGTAAGGTCAGAACCAAGAGGCCACTATTTGCCTCCCTCGCTGCTGGTTTCCCAAAAAACTTGGGGCGTTCTCACTCTGCTGTCACAGAATATTCGAGATCTTTTTTCTATATAACCATCACCAAGCAATAGAATAGTTTTGTTGTTGGCTTTTAAATGTTTTTGGAGTGGTCCAAAGGAAAACGTGAGGATTTATAAACGTTAAAGCATTCAGGAATAATAACGCTTGTTAATGTGATTAGAGATTAAGATTTAATTGTTGCTTGCAATGTTATTACCACTTGAAGAAGTGGTAGGATGTGATTATTTTATCTTTTGCAGGAAAGTAGGACGAGTAAGGAGGGTTACAACGGAATCTTCTGCAGTCAAACAAAACGAGGTATTTTAACTTTGCAAAGGGTCACAAACGTAGTTAAATAACTGCGGTCTAAACTTTAGCAGATTTACTTAAAATCATGAGCTTCAACATTTAATATTCATTACACGATCATCTGAACAGTAATAAATCTACCAGGGTTGGTGTTTTAGTGACATTCCTATCTCATGTCAGGTACAACACAAAGGGTTAGAGAAGAAAGCACAAAGTTTATCTCGAAGGCGAGATCAGATACAAAAGGATTATACAAGAACACTGACACTCTGGCACATGGAGCAGGAACGCAACAAGAATCATAAAGATCCTGCCTTGCAGGTAGGTAGTTTAAAATTGTACTTTCTGAATTTGTGTTGAATGGGATTTTTAGTATTAGATATATACAATTGAATATTAAACGGAAAATTTACCTTGATAAATTCCCAATTTTGAGTTTCAAAATCAAATGAAGATGACACCCTAGTATTGCAGAGGCGTACTGTTCGGATCCTAAAATTCATCGACAAAATGGCAAAAACATCTGAAAAGTTCCACTTTAAAGACGGATTCTTCCTAGATCTAATGGACCCAGAATATTTTCCAGAACCTTCCCCTCCGCCCCTAAATATCAACCGTCCCGACTCAAAACGTCCAATCTTCAAACAACCATTCGTAGAAAACGAGGGCCGATCAAAGTCAACAGGTCAATTCTACAGAAGGGATTCTACTGCGGAGGCTTTGAAAGAGAAATTCAGACAATGCAAGAAGGCAGGTGACGTTCAGGGTTGCGGTTATGTGTACGTTAAAATCCACACGGACCCTTATTATAGATACCTCCCACCTTTATCTAACGCTAGCAAAAACTACGATGTGCGTCTAGCCAAGCTACCTCACAAGACATTGAGAAATGAGGAGCAGTGGAGGAAGTTTCTAGATTCGTTGAGAGCTAAAACCCCTCCTCCACCCCCGCCTGAGCCTAAGGCCCCCACGGTTCAGGAATTGAGGAAGGCACGGACGGAAGAGCTTAAGAAGAAACTTCCTATCATTTCGTTATTACCGAAGTGGCTTCGAGAGGTCAGAGATAAAAATGATATAAGATCTGAAAGGTACATTAGACCTAATGCGGGTGATGATCAGCAGCCAATATTGGAATTGGTAGCGGCTGTTAATTCAGAGGCTGTAGAGAATTCAAAACCAGTTAGTCGACCAACTTCAAGATCAAACAATAAAAAGACTGTCGAAGAACTGCCAATGTTGGAATTAGTTGAGGCTGTCAATTCAGTACCAAGTACACTTTCAGTGAGTCGACCCAGCTCAAGAAAGAGGGCTGAGAGAAAAAATCCCGCCACAATTATTGAGAGTCACACTAAGGCAGATATGAATGGTGTCATCAAAACAATAAAGCCAACAACTCATAGAATTGATAATCACCAAACTACTGTTATGGAAGGCACTCCAGAAACTTCAATCAAGCACAGGATTCGGGCAACAAAGTGATGTTATTATTAGGTTTAATTGACCTCATCAGAACGTGATCATAATTCAATGATCAATGAATTTGGGAAGACTAGGGCTACAGCTGACCGAGGAATAAAATGTCAGGTCACAATTGCAATTAAAGCCCGTAAACTTTGGTAGCTTTTGTTCAATTATGATAAACATAAATTGTATCGTCTTCCAACTGCTATCAAAAGACAGCAAGTTTCAGGCATATCCGTAATTTAAATAAAGAACTATAAAAAAATTTGAATGAAGAACTATACAAAAATCAAAACGTTTTGGAGAACTTGGCAGGACTTTAAAATATGGGTATATTTTTGTGAGAGAAGCTGAACCTGGTTGGTGCACAGGTTGGGTATACTTTATTGCTTTATATTACCGAATACCGAGATACTTATTACTTTTCGAAAAAGTTGAATTAGCTGTTTCTTGTTTGTACGAGAGGGGTAAAAGGAAATATTTCATTATGCATTAGTAATTTTAATAATTATGTTTATAAATATTTTTGCTTCTTTTTCGATTTAGGTTTTGAAAACAACCGATGTTTTTGTGATCATAAGTTCTAACAGTAACCAGCATATCAGCATATAAGCTGATAAGATTTCGTTCCAAAAGTTAGCTTTAGTCCAGGACATAGTCAGGTTCTTATTACCCAATTTGTAAACTAGGAACCCCATTAACGTTAAACGTAACACATGAAAATATTCATAAATGAAATCGTACATTCATTTTGCAGCAGTATTTTTCTGAAAATGAAACCATTTTTATACGAAAGTTTGATCGTAGGTTAACGTTTGTCTCTTGCAGACACTTTTTAAGCACTTTTGTCATGATATTTTTGACAAATTTCGCCTTCTTAGGGGGTCCAAAAAGGAGGTTTCTCAGTTTCTGAGCCCCAACGATTGGTTTTAATGGTTTCTAATGGTTTTCAGTGATAGTTCTTGACCCAAAAAGAAATTTTGATAAAATAGTCCGAAATTTCAAAAATGGTTTTCAAAAACATTTCTCAGAAAACAGCAGAAATGGTATTGTCACTATCTCTTAATTCACATCGCATTGCTTATCACTCATATCTTAATTTTAGGACATATTAAGCCGCCCATCACTACGCAATACATGTTGAATAATACCAATCCATGTTAAATCCAAACTACTTTAAAACTGATTTTGGCATGTAAAAACCAAGATATTATGCCGATTGAATTTACTTAACTTATCATCAAAGGGTTTTCATTGCTTTAGACCGCATTCGATTGTTGTCTGACCAACTCGTTATATGAGTGGGATCCTTAAAATGAAAACTTCTTTAAAAGAATTTTAAAGCGTTTGCGGCAAATTTCCGATTTGAAAGTGGCTGATGTGAAGCACTTTGAAGTAAAGCCAATTGCACGATTCATTGTATTTCACAAAGATTTCGGTATGCACTATGCATTCTGAGGAACCATTATGAATTATAACTTAGAACAATTCATTACATTAGTTTTTCTTTGGAGATTTACAAACTAGAACAATCGGTTAGTTTTTATAACGTCAGAGATTTACACGTTTATAAGTTTATAAACTTTACTTGTGATATCAAGAACTTTGCTTGCGTGTATGTTAACAGTTGCAGAATGAATAGACACAATGTAGACACAGTCAAGGATCGTAATTTTCTTTAAGATTTAAGATATAAACAATTTGTGGCAAAAACTATTACATTCACATAAATGAAACCGGTTTCATTACCTGAGCATCTGATCAACAAAATGCCCTTCAAAGCTGTACATTCAAAACTTCGCAATTATTAAAAATCTCGACCATGAAAACTATTCATCAAACTTTAAAAACGTTTAATGCATCTTAGGGTTGGGAACCCTATGTTTGATGTGTATCATAGCATGTTGCAGATGAGGCATTGCCTCGATAAACCACGATTCCTCGCAAATCTTGTAGTCTCCAGTATCATCATAAGAGGGCAGATACAGGATTTCTGCCATCGCAGTAGAGGTAGACCTCTCGTAAACATACGACATACTCGTTCCACAACTTTCAACTGGGTACGGTACTGTGGAGGTTTTAGTCGAGATTGAGGTTCCAGGTTTGAAGGTTGCAGGTGATCCAGTAACTTGAGGTTTTGCAATGATGATATTGTGTTCCAGCTTCATCGTATTTACCACACTTGTGTAAAGATAAGACGTAAAGCACACATAATCATATAAGATGGTCGGACCCCATTCAATCTCCGCTGAAGCTTTCATTCTGTTATCTTTATTCTTAGCACTGATAATCTGGAAGCGTGCTGAGTCTACATCACATTGTACTTGTTTCCTATCTAAGTTCATACCAACTATTTTTAAATCCTGCTTGTGAGCAGAGTCCTTTTTCCGATGATCCTTGGAAGTTTTTGATAAGTTGTATCGCAAGCGTCGCTGGAGCCGACAAAAATCATCAAAACTTGAAGCAAGGGAAACTTTGTGAGTGGTATGTTTTGGTGGGGCTAGGCAGGTTTGTTGGTAAACATTTAAACGAGCATCACTGACTGCCACTTTAGGCTCCACTGTCATCACAGAATGCTGTTTAATGTATGTCATGCGGAGTAGTTTTCCTCCGTATGCATCCCTGTCAAGACTAGCATAAGCAACGTTTATCAGAGATCTGACTTCTCCGATAACAGCAATTTCGATAACCTGGAGATGGGGGGTGAGTGGTTTCACTTCAGGTGTTATTCTTTGTTGGAGATGCTCTCCGGAATCCAACAATACGTAAGGAAGAATAGAAGAAGTGGTGCTAGAACGTGGCACAGATGAAGTGCCTTTGGAGAATGAATATGGCCTCAATTCAGCACTCATGTAAAAAGATATTTCCTTTGCGGTGGGAAGATGTATTTTATAGATAATGGCACCTTTTCGGGGGAAAGCATGCCTGACATCTTTCTTTGATTTAGAAGTCAAAGAATGGTGGTGTTTAAACCATCTGAAGCTATGAAATCTCAAATTATTGGTTACTCTTGAAGATTGAAAAACCTTAGGAAGGATCCCAAAAAGAAATTTATAAGACCCTTTTCTAAAGATAATCTTCATTTTAGCAGATGCGAGAGATTTTAGCACAGAAGCCTCTGAACTGCATGTGTTTCTTTGGAACTGCCAAGGTGAAATGGAAGATACAGAATTCTGGACGACAGGTAATCCCTCTTTGTGTATCTGGATCTTGTGAAGTATAGCTTCAAACAGCCATCCAGCCGTCATCTGTACCGGCTTACTGTAGTGGTGTTTCAGGGCTATGTACATGGAACATTGTCGTGTCCATGAGATAGAGGATGGGATAAGAGCTGGTGATGTTCTTTTAATGTCACGTGACCATTTCATCACTGACTTCTGCGGTATGGTACCAGACCAAACGAACCTTTTTGCATCTCTCGCTCTGTTCTCGGTTGTTTCGTCAAATATCACTCCTTGTCTACCAATGACATAGTACTGAACTGGCTTCGTTAATTCTATCTTCAGTTTCACTTGCATCATCTTTTGATGTGGCAAAAACAACTTCCTCTGGATTAAAAAGCTTGCACCATCTCTTCTGTAAGACAAGGTACGGAAATGAGCACTTTTACTCAGTGTGGAATCTTGTTTGCAGGTGGTTGCAATCTTCTGTAAGATTTTGTAATGTAGCTTCCGGATCTTTTTAACAAGAATTGAACTGACAATATATTGACGCACTTTTTGAGTGTCGGTGCTTGTGCTTGTACATGTCTGTACCACGCCGCCTTTAGATACAGCTGGAGACAAGACTTTGCTCCTTTGGAACAAGACTTTATAACTCCTGTGCCTTAGACTGGCAAAATGGCTCAAAGATGTTGGTGAAAGCCGTGAAGATTTTGTTGATCTACTCTGGAATAACACCATCAATACACCTCTACTGGTTTTAGATCTTTGAGCTGTGATGGTTGATTTAGGAGTGGTAAACTTGTGATAACCCACTCCCACTAGCTGTGTATACACGGCCACAACTTTTAACTGTAATACCTTGTGTGAGCTCCCCTTTACAAACTGATCCGCATTAATTCCGTTAACTGGAGCCATGTAAAACTGAATAGGTCTTGTTGGCGTAAGTGTTCGCTTGAACTTGATCTGTTTATGGTAAGATTCCAACGCCGTATCCTTATTTATCATATTTGATGTTCCAGTACGATAGACCAAAATCTTGACAGTCCTGCCATCAATAATTAGCGAACCCGACTTGAGTATCCAGAGATGCCTTGGCTTCACAACTGTCCGTGCCTGCTGTATCATGTTCCTCAGCATAGTACTGATTATATACTTACTGATTTCAGAGGGAGAAACGTTTGCCTCCCTGCACATTTCAACTGAACCACCCTTCTTCGCACTCAGGTTGAGGTTTGTTTTCTTATGAATCATAAGTTTAGTTCTTTGTAAAGCAACGGTAGTTTTGTGGTGACGATAGAATGGTCTGAGATATGAAAATGTTGTCTTTCTTTTCTGAAACAGGGTCACAACATGCCTTTCTCTTGTTATCGATCTTTGGATGGTGAGTTTTCTTTTGTAGTTTATGTAATCGTAGTACGCATACTCGTAGGTTGTAAAGTAGATTGCTAAAGCTGTGAACTTTTTGCCTCCATGATGATCAGTACCAACAAGTTCGTTATAGCTGAAGATATTAATCTTAGTCCAACGGAACTGACAGTTCAGTAATGGTGTTGTTATGATGTAGCCACGAGTAACTTGTCTTGTGACGGGTCTTACTAGTCTTCTGGAGTAAGTTAACCAAGTGGGATCATGGTCGTATAGTAGAAGCCTATGTTTGGGGTTGTCGTTGATGAAAGAAGCGGATTTTATTTGGACGCTGTACATTTTGTTCAAGATGGAAGCTTTAACGACGTTTTTATGGAGAATAACGCTGAAAAGAAGCCTCGTGGTTATTCGAGTACAACCCCTGTGTGATGGTTTGGTACACGAGTATTGTCCCCTTGAATGTTCTGTCAGACATCACAGTAGGGCTGAACTTCCTAACAGTATATTTCTGAAGACCTGGACCGCTGCCATATTCTCCTGAAGACATTGCTGTTCTTGATTGTCTCGTATATCTTCCTTGGAATCTGATAAGTAATTTTGCTTTCTCTGTGGTTACTCGGCGAGGAATTTGTTCCCATTTATATTCTCTGAAAGTGACCCAACCGTCCTCGCGCAATTTTAGCCATTTACCACCAAACAAAACCTTCCAAACGGATATTCTCAGAGAACCATAATCTTGATTTACCACAAACATTGCTTGATAACGTGCCTCCAATCGCGTGGCTGGTTTCAATGCTAACAAGAGTGGACTTGTCTCATCTGACTTTAAACTGATCATCTGAGTGTGGGATTGTCCAGTGAACATGTGCTGTGATATGACATGCTCCAGTTTGATGGTATGTTTAGGTTCTATCCGGAATAACAGTCTTGCTGCGTAAACTACAATCATGGTGACATCATGTGTAGTCTCTTGAAAATTCGTTTTTTTGACGACACCATGTCCCCACTGAACAGTAACAAGGTGTTCAAGTTGTTTTGTCTCACATGTTGTCATTGCTGCTAGCGATGTAACAAAGCGAGCTACTTTCTGAATCTCGTGCTGGAAAATCTTGGCTCTCTCAAAACGTTGAAAGTTTACAAAGCTCCTAGTGCTCCTGGCAGCTGAGGTTCCCGTCAAGGTTCTTCTGTTGTAGATTATAATCTCATGAGCTAGGATTATCTTGTAATTTGACTTCATGGTGATTTGTTTATAATCCACCAGAACACGTCTGATATGGGTTATAACCGGCACGTGAGTGTCAGAAGAGACGAATCTCATAGCGTGATCCACAGTCCTTTCCAGCGCTCCAAACGCCTTGAATCGCTTCGCGTCGA